CTACTCCTTTTTAATTTTAAAAAATTGTGGTAAAATATATACAACATAATTTACCATATTAATCATTTTTAGTATACAGCTCTGTAGCATTGAGTACATTCACATTTTTGTGCATCCATATGATTTGTTTTTGACCCATGAATTATTTAGAAATGGTTTTAAATTTCAAAACTGGAGATGTTTAAGTTATTTATTTTTGTTGTTGTATCTAGCTTAATTACATTACAGTTAGTACATTCTATATGATTTCAATTTTGTAAATGTATTAAGATTTATTTTATGGCCTTGGATATGTACATTCTTATAAATGTTCCATTTTTGCTTGACAAGATTGTATATTCTGGGGCTGGCCGAGTGGCTCAGTTGGTTAAGAGTGCTAGCTCTGAGCAACAGGGTCGCTGGTTTGATTCCCACACAGGCCAGTGAGCTGTGCCTGAGCTGAGCTGCCACTGAGCTGCCAACAGGTGGCAGGATGGCTTAGCTGGTGAGAGCGTGTACTCTTAGCAGCAAGGTTGCCGGTTCGACTCCTGCTTGGGATGGTAGACTTTGCTCCCCTGCAACTAGATTGAAAGTGGCTACTGGACTTAGAGCTGAGCTTGCGCCCTTCACAACTAAGATTGAAGGACAACTTGACTTGGAGCTGATGGGTCCTGGAGAAACACAATGTTCCCCTTCCCCAATTCCCCAACACTGTTCCCTTCCCCAATTCCCCAATAAAAATCTTTGGAGAAAAAAAAAAGATTGTATATTCTGCAATTACTAAGTGCAGTGTTATAAACCAGGGGTGCCAAAAAAATGTATACAAGTGGTCACTTTGGTCAATGTTGCTCAAGCAGTAGTTCGCCATAATCAGGAGTGTCTGGGCGCTGATGGTAACCACTTTGAGCACCTCTTGTAATTACAGAAGTCAAATATGACTTGTATTCATCTTTTGTTATTGATATATATTATTATAATTTTAATACAGTTTTCCTTTCTTAAAATGTGTATACATTTTGGGGGCACCCTCTATATATCCATTAGGCCAAATGTGTTAATTGTGTGTTCAAATACTTTAAAAAATAAGACTGTTCAATGAAACGTTCTGCCTGACAGACATACTGTCATTTGCACCATCCAACATGGCAG